CTAAAGAATTGCTCATGAAAATTTCTTTCCAGTTGCAACCAATTATATATCGAATTGGGTGGCAACGAAGTAAACCAAGTGAAAGCATTTTTAGTCAATGAACTAGGGAAATATTTCATTTTTAATTCTTCACTCATCGCTAGATCCCCACATTCGATCTGATATCGAGCCACGTGCTCGATAGTGGATTCACCAATTTCTCCAGCAAATTTGGTGAATTTAGGTACTTTGTATCCTCGAGGTAATTCTGTCTCGAGAATAGCATTTGGAAAAGGAGAAACAAAGTACGTTTGATTGGGTGGTCTTAACTCCATTCCTTGGGAATTCATCCTTTGTCCTAACATGTGATTATACTGCATATTATTTTGATTGTACATATTTTGAAATCCCTCATTCAGATTCCCATAAATATCATTCCTCACATGTTGATATTCATTTCCCATATGTTGATGTTGATCATTGTTTCGATTTCTCCTCAACAGATACGGGGGATTGATATTAGCATTTTGGTTAATGTTCTGATTGGCATGATTTTCCACTCTTGTTTGTCGAGGTATAGCCAATGCATCCCCGATACGTGACATTTGGTCTGCTAATATCTCAAAACTAGCAGTAGTGTTTTGAACTAATGGATTGAGGACTGTAGTCAACTGTTGTGATAACATATTCACCATCTCAAAATTGCTCTCATCCATTTGTTGTCTAAATACTCCTAATGAGTTACTGGAGATCCCAGTACTAGTGTTTTCAATAGTCTCAAAATTGGATCGATGATAATCTCTATCGAATGCGTTTCTCCCATGATCCAGATTTGCTCTGTGATCTAGATTTGGAGGTATCTGTTGTGTACCTAAATTCTGCCCACTCCCTGAATTCTGGGGGGTTACTAAATTTTGAGACGCCCCTAAATTTGGAGAGACTCCAAAATTTTGCGGTATACCTAGAGTTTGAAAGGTACCTAAGTTCTGAGGCATTCCTAGGTTAAATCTCGAGTTTCGTTGTATCGAAAAGGTACCAGCCCCATTCATATTATTAGGTGAAAAACCAAGTGGTCGTACGCTCATATACGGCCCTGCATATGTTGTTATGGGGTTCCCCATCACAGTACTAGATCCTACTTGAGTGTTTGCTAATGTGCCTGAACTTTGTTCATTACCCACAGGTATCGACATACTCACAGTCGTCGATATTACAGGCATATTTCCATTAAGACCTTGCCCCCCAGTGTTTGGTGGATGTGAACCATTTAGACCCTCACTGTTACTCTGGTTATTTGGTGGGTTTTGACTCATTCTTATAACTCGCCCACTCCTTAATCTCATACACTTTCGAACTAACCAATTTTGTGTTTTTCGACACAAATGTCCCCTACTTGGCGCGCCAATTTGTTTCTGGTGGAATTTTGATTAATTTCGATTCTTAAGAGGATTTGATTCTAACCAAAACTCAACCACATAGATTCTTTATACTTAGGCTAGCAACTGAATTTCAATCGAAATGCGTATGAGAATCGAAAATACCACTATAGAAAATACTAAGATTAATAATCGAAAGCACTATTTTTTGGTATTTTGTCTTTAAAGCACTCGAAATAAGGAAAGCAGTAAAATGTCAAATCGAAAAGTAGTACAGAATATAAAGCAATATTAAATTGCAGAAAATGTAAAGTGCAGAAACCTCAAAATTGCATTAAATGTAAATGGCAAGAAATCAAAAATTGCAGGATTGTAAATAAACAAAAATCTAACTTTGTAGAAAAATAGACAACAGGAAATCGAAATTGCAAGAAAAAGAATAACAGGAAATCGAAATTGCACAAACGATAAATGACAAGTAATCGAAATCTCGGAAATGTAAATAGCAGGAAAATCGAAATTGCGTTAATATAAATGACAAGGAACTTAAACGCAGAAACTTAACTTTTATTAAAGGGAAATGACAAGGAATCGAAAATACAGAAACTTAAAGTTGTCAAACATAATCCGCATCAAAGTAAATTACCAGGGAAAATAAAGAAAGCGGTAAAGGAAATCAATGAACATGGAAATCCAGATCGTCAGAAACTTCATGATGTTCGTCGTTCTCCAGTAGACTTCTCACTAGTATTCCTACTCTCTGCCAATTTTCCACGCCCCCCTCTCCTTCATCCTCCACTTTATTTATAGGGCATCCTTTCAGCAAGTAACCTCTTAGGAGCAGTTAACGAAAACTGCTACTACGTCTTACGTGCACGTTGCAGTTTCTTCTTCGGTATTAAAACTGCACCCACGTTCCCATGATCTTCGACCTCTGCCACGGTTTAGAAATTGTTTCCTATATGCGTGTTTAACTGTTCCTCTCTTTATGACCTAGCCGGGATTTCGATATCCACGCAGGTTAGCCTTCTTCTTGATTTTGATCTCTTGATCTCGAGAACTTTGACTTGCCTTTGCTTTCCCTTATCCTTAACATTACATAATTCTGATTTCTCGATTTCATTCACTAACGGATATTAAACATTCTTCCTTTGATTCTCGATTCTAATTCTCGCTTATATTGTCATATGGTCGTCGAACGTGTTTTCCAACTATCTTTCGATTTATCAGTCTTTAATTCAATCAAAATGGTTCTCGATTTTTGCTCCCATTTGTTTCTCGATCCCTTTATCGATTTCCCACTAACAATATTAAATTGATTCCTTACTTGTTTTAAATAAAATATTAATTATTTGAAATAATTTTTTAGTGAAAAAAATGTTATATGACATAATAAGTTGTTTAAATTTTTGTGAAGTTGAGTACCTTTAATTGGAGTTGAGTTATTTTTATTGAATTGTTTAAAATTGGAAAAAGTTATTTAAAATTAAAAGAAGATTGATTGTTTACATAAACAACTCGATTATGTTTTAAGTAACTTATACGTGAAATTCATAATAAAATATTTATATTTATTCTTAAACAACTCTTCTTAAAAAAACTCTCTTTTGGAGATGTCTTTAGGATAACAACTCTTCTTTACTAATGCAAAACAAAAATTTATGATATCTACTTTTAAGCAATTAAGATTCATAATAAAATATTTATTTTTATTTTTAAGCAATTCTATCTGAAAATACTCTCGTATTCTCTCTCCTTTTTTATTTTAATTTGTTATTTTTATTAAAAGAAATTTAAACACTTGTCATACTACATAAAATTCGTCTAATAAGAAATTATTTCAAATAAACAATATTTTATTTAAGTATCTCAATAAAAAAAATTTCATTAGATATCCTCTTATAAAAATGGAAAAATTAGAGTAAATAAAAAGAAAAAAATATTTTTTAAAATTTATTAAAAAAATTTAATAAAGTAGAATTAATATTTAATTACTTACAGTCATCCTTTATTTTATATTTTTTAAGATAAGAATTTGATCTTATTAATAATATCCTAAATCGAACAAGCAAATGAATTAAATGTCTTACACTACTAATCTTGTGTTGACGGAGAGAAAGAACACATTGTTCTCATAAAATCATATATTTTTCTCATTTGCACACATTCTAACGTAAAATCTGTAGCTTAGTTTAACTATTGGGTCCACATCCCAATTCACAATCACATTCAATAGTTGAGAATGAATCCTATTTAATCATTAAAAAAAAATAAAAAGAGAGATTGCCAAACAAACATAACCTAACACGCATGTATTTCTACTTGGGATTGAATGAGACAATACAAGATATATATTTTGAAGTTTGGACCAAAAACTTTATCTAACTCACTCTGAATTGAGTCAATCTTACGAGTATTTTCATTGTGCGTGCTTTATGCATTAGCAAGGCTGCATTATGCAGTCACTAAGTTATCCAATGAGAGAAAACCTATAACACAGAAGATGCCAACACAAAGAAAAGGCTTGAAGACGAAGAAATTAATGGGAATGAGAGAAAGAGAATGAAAGCGAACAGAGAAGAGAATCACACATGGCCATGAAAATATATATAAGAATTCCTTCTCTTTTGCACATGAAGAGACAAATTTACTTGCATTTCAAGCATATGATTTGCTTTATTTCATTCACCTACACCACTCTTTAAAGTAAGAGCATCTATACAGGTAACTGGAATCTCTCTTTTCCTTTCTTTTCTACAACAATTTGGTTGTTCATCACATAACTTGAATATAATACATAACCAATGTTTAACTGCTACATTCATGTGTGTAAACTACTATGTACACAGATAGGACAATGACAATAATGTTAATCTCATGAACCAAGACATTGAAAACCCACTAAAGTATTTTCTTAAGTGAATGCTGCAAAACTTCTAATATGGTTTCTGTTAAATGAAAGGAGAAGTATTTTTGAGATGCAACTAAGTGCGGGTTTGGATATCAACTTGATCCAATCGAACTTATTTTTTACTTGATTCAACACTTAAATTATTTATATGTATTGAAAAGTACAGTTCTCTGATTAACTTCATTCTAAAGGTTACATGACTCAACACTTACATTATTGAAATTGTCTGAAATAAAAATGTTATCTCTTTTCTTCCTTGTCTGATTAGTATTTGTTTTTATATTTGCATCATAGTCACTTATATTGACAATGGTATGGACATAATTGGCAAACAAACTCTGCTTAACATTTATCTTTCTGTCATAATCACACTGATTTACCTTGTTTTGGCACACTCGTTAAACAAAAGTACATAGCAAATAGAAAAACAAAAAAGAAGAGATAATTAGATGGATTTCCTGTCATTTTTGTCTTGAACAAGCAACAATAAGAAAACTTAGCCTAGTAGCTGTTAGAAGAACTGGTTAAAAGCAGAGAGAACGAAGAGAGTATATTATAGTAATATTATACAGTAGCTGTTCATATTAGTGGAGCAAAAGAATTAACAAAGATTCTCTCACATGCTCCATGGTTGAAGCTTCCTTTAATTATGCAAATTAATCACACCTACCCTATAAATGGATGATTGCATGAACAGCTCTCCTCATTAACACCACTTCATCTCATTCTCTTCAATGGAGTGGCTTCAGCAATTCCTCAATTTCCTCTTTGTAGCTTCTCTTATCATCATCACCACAGCAATTTCAGATCAAACTTCAAAGGTTTATACATACGCATACATTTCCCTTCTAGTTTATTATGTTCACTATTTGTATGCCAGATTCACCAAAGTTCTCTTGTTCTCTGCAGCCTTATGTTGTTTATATGGGGAATTCATCACCAAACAACAATAGGGTACAAGACCAAATACCAGAATCAGATCATCTACAGCTACTTTCATCAATTATTCCAAGGTTCATTATCTAGTATTTACACTTTAATCTACAACCATAATCACGAAAGAGATCAAGATCAATTGAATTATGGAATGAACACACTTTCTTATTTGCTTTTCCATTTTCTCAGTGAAGAGAGTGAGAGGATAGCTCTTATCCATCATTTCAGTCATGCCTTCAGTGGATTCTCTGCCATGCTTACAGAGAGTGAAGCTTCTGCACTGTCTGGTATTTTTTTTATCTTGTCTTGTAGCTTCTTTTCCCTTTTGTCTGCTTCAAATTCTTAACTTGCATGATTCTTTGACTTTTCCAATGTTTTGTTGTCAATTTACTTTTTTTTTATGGTCATTATTATTTAGGGTAGTCACCAGAAAAAAAAAAAAAAGTGCATTAATTTTGATTTCTTGCTTAAAGCAAAATCAATATAGTACTTATTATGTGGTTGGAAGTGAATTTTGGTGTCCTTTGAATGTATGATTATTACTGTGCACTAATAATTTTGTTCACCAAACTTAACTACACTCACAATGATAAAAGACATTTCAATAATAATAAAATAAAATAAACAGATGGATAATAACTATAGGGTGTGAAATTTATTATTTAAATAAAAAATGCATATTTATGAACTAAAATTAATTAAAAATAATGTAAAATTAAAACAACAATATTCAATGGATCCAAAATAGAGATCTGAACGTAAGTGAGTTGCCTTGTGGGACAGGGTGGCACAGCTCCCAATTTTTTTGAATATTTTATAATTATTTTTTTGTTGCATTCAATATTTTATGTACATTAAACATATGTGATTGTCTGCATTAGGATTTGGTTTTGTACTTTCAATTCCAACATAGAATTTTGTTCCACTTCTTAATAAAAATATCATATTGGTTTATATTTGTATAATTTTCACGTATTCCATTGTTTCATTTTAGAATTGATTTTAGTAGTAAAACATTTTTATATTTTATTATAGTGTGAATACTTTTATATAATGTTGTATCCAACTTATATATAAATTTTATAATAATTATTTTAAAACGCGCATTTAAGATGATTCATAATTAATTAATTGATATTGTGAAATGTTTACTCTAACTTACATTTGATAAAATTAATTTTTTTAGGTAGTTTTTGTGTTACATAAAACTTTATAACTTTTTTTATCATCAAATTTACAATAAAAAAAACTTATAATACGAAGTTATGATTAATATTTTATTTTCTTGGATTTTTATAAACGTACCTTTGAAAAGATGGTTTACTCTACACCATCACTGTCATGAAACTAATCAGAATTACCAAAATAACAAAACATTATCAAAATCATAATCATTTTTTCATTCTTTAATGTCAAAATCATAATAATTATGAAACAATTTGATGACAATGATGGTGTTGTCCCTTTTGCGGTAACTATTGGTACGTGATTTGTGAACCACAAACAGGTCACGATGGTGTGGTGTCAGTGTTCCCAGATCCAGTGCTGAAGTTGCACACAACACGATCTTGGGATTTCTTGGAATCAGATTTGGGATTGAAGCCTCCTCATGTCAATTCCAAAACCATACTCCAACACTCTTCATCTGATACCATTATTGCTGTCATAGACACAGGTAAACACAACTTCATGCCTCTTCTTCAATTAGGTTTTAGCCTAATAATTCTGATTTTTAATTGGTTTAATATTAAATATTTTTCCCTGCCATTAATAAAATAGTGAATGAACATTGTCTTACTTAAAAGAAAAACAAAAATAAATGAAACTTTTGTAGTAAAAGGATTAAAAGTACAGAACAGATAAGGTTATGCCAAAGGTTAATTTAAGTGCATTCCAACCAGATCTGGCTCATTATGTGGTATTACTTCGCAAGACTCCTTTCTCACACCACTTCATTGTACTAACTCAAATAATAAATAAACTTTAGAAGAAACCCACCTAAACTTCACATGCATTTACAAGAAAATCCTACGTTTTATGTTTCATAAATTTTTACTTATCTCTCTATTTTTCGCAATGTAAATTATAATTCATTTTGGAATAACTTTTTGATAACGTAAAAACTAGATTTCAAAATATCTGTTCTGAAATAAACTAGAATTAATCAAGAAAATCATGAAGTGCTGCAAGAAGTATTTTTACGAAAGTATCCGGTGAAAAACCCAAAGGTAGACAGTACAGTGTTTGAATAGCATAGCATATAGTAGCAGACATGGACCAAAACAAATGGTAGATTCATATGAATCTGATTTGTCACTACTCACACCACTTTTTAGGCCATTCACCACTCACTGCTAGCCTTGTGGTTGAACCCTATTGACAGTTGCAGCATCAACATCTATTGTGTGGAAATAGCAACTCATTGTGCCCCACAACTAGCTGTTATGATTGCTACCATATATATATATATATATATATATATATATATATATATATATATATTGTTCAAGAGAAAAACAAGCACAATACCTACTCAGTTTCTACGTAGCTCACTTTTTGACAACAAAACCTTCACTGCCTTTTCTTGGTATATTGTATCCTACTGGGATCCTTTATGTGAGGTTGGTCCCTTTAATCCAAGTCATGCTCAATGATGAGTTTGGCAAGTGAAAATTAGAGGACTAAAAACATCATTAAACAACACATAAAACTAAGTTTTGCTTTTCTAACACTTTAGATTATTACATTTTTACAAACAAGCTTCTAGAAGTTATGAGTAGAAAAAACCATAAGGTTTAGAACTTGAAAGTGAAATAATATACATTTTGAAAACTTTTCAAGCATACTGCATTCAATTTCCTGCTGCATAACAACCAACAAAAATTGTTAAAACCTGAGGCACACAGAACTTTACATTAGTGGCACCACTCCCCAGAAACCCCCTTTTCTCCCCCAATTGAATGATTAAGCTAGTGTGTGAAGTGAAAGAAACCACTTTTTCTCGGTTGCTTCATACCCTGGCTTTAGTATTGAAACTCTTTGGAAAAGAAGCCAAAAGGCATTTATAAAAACAGACCAAATTTCCCACAATAGCATAAAAACGTTAAAGGGAATTTATCCAGAGAGACACAGACAAAAAAACTTTCTCTAGGGAGCTTTACTAGATATTTGTCCTAGAGTCTATTACTTAATTGTGGGACCTTTCTTGGTGTCCATTTAAGTTCAGAGCCACAGTGAAGTTGAAACAGCAGAGATTCAATCAGGTGGAATTTTTTAACATTTGCTTGATTTAAAAAAAGTTTATTGTTTAAATTTTAATTACAAAAATATTACTTGATTTTCATGTAAAAATAGTACATAATGATAATATAAAGAAATTGTACTTTTACATTGCGATTTTTAATTCATTGTCAATATAAAAACCTTTCTATTTATAGTACATAAAAATTAATCTCTATTTTCATTTTGATTTTGTATCTTCTGAACTATTATTAAAGGGTTTAGTTCAATTGGTTGAGAAAGTGTGTGTGAAATCCTTAGTTGTTCCCATCCCATTGTTAGAAATGTAAACCAAGTGGAGGATGAGGGGGTGAAGCAATTTATTGAAGGGAAGGAAGAGATAAAAATAAAAAACAACAAAGCATTCTAGCCATGTGTTACTCACAATTAACAACTTTCCTCTTCTAAAAAACCAAAATAACCTTCAAAAACTAAATCTATTACTGATCCATGAATGACAAAGACCTTAGTGTAGAGTTTGCATGTTACATATTATGAAAAGTCATGTTGGACTACTATTCAATCATTTTATGCCCATGTTTGTTCTGCTTCAAGGGATATGGCCAGAGTCTCCAAGTTTCAGAGATGAGGGTATAGGGAAGATCCCTTCAAGATGGAAAGGAGTTTGCATGGAGGGTCATGATTTCAAGAAATCCAATTGCAATAGGTATCATTCATTCTCTAACAAATGTTTTTGATAAAAAAATGTTCATATCTATTTATAAAATCTTTTAGTAATCACAATGACACTGACAAAATTACACTTAATAAAAATGCAGAAAATTGATAGGTGCAAGATACTATAATATTCAAGCTACATCAGGTAGCAACCAGACGCAAATAGAAGCAACCAAAGGTTCCCCGAGAGATTCTGTTGGACATGGGACTCACACTGCATCAATAGCAGCTGGTGTTTATGTCAACAATGCTAGTTATTATGGTTTAGCACAAGGCACAGCAAGAGGTGGTTCACCTTCAACTAGGATTGCTGCTTATAAAACCTGCTCAGAAGAAGGGTGTTCTGGTGCCACCATTTTAAAGGCTATTGATGATGCTGTAAAGGATGGAGTAGATGTAATATCAATTTCTATTGGACTCAGCTCACTGTTCCAATCAGACTTTTTGAGTGATCCTATAGCCATTGGAGCATTTCATGCAGAACAAATGGGGGTCATGGTGGTGTGCTCAGCTGGAAATGATGGCCCTGATCCTTTCACAGTTGTGAACACTGCACCATGGATATTTACCATTGCAGCTTCTAATATTGATAGGAACTTCCAATCAACTATTATCCTTGGAAATGGAAAATATTTCCAAGTAGGTTTCTGATCTCTTCTTCCAAGCAAAAAGGAGTAGATTTCTTACCATGAATTCTTTCTTTCATCCACCAAAAACCTTAATGTCCCCCACTTGTTTGTGCTTTCAGGGTACAGGCATTAACTTCTCAAATCTTACTCTTTCGAAGATGCATCGCCTTGTCTTTGGTGAGCAAGTAGCTGCCAAATTTGCCCCGGCATCGGAAGCTAGGTACCTAATTGTGATTTTATAAAGTTATTGTCATCCTCTTAAACCTAAAATAACAAGACTTATCATTTCATGTTTTCCCATTTCCATGATGATTTTTTATTGCCAATAGATTATAAAAAAAATGCATTAGGTATACTCAAATGAGATTCACTGAAATTTAACATTGATCTTACTATTCATATATTTTACCATTACACTACATCAGCAGGCAATAGCATTTATGAAAGCAACAAAGATTGGCATTGTGCATATATAATATAATAGAATCAGTATCATTAAAACTGGTTTAATTTAGATTTTATGGTTTAAAGATTCCACATTAGAAATCTTAATTGCTCTCTGAATGCAGGAACTGTTATCCTGGATCACTAGATTACAATAAAATTGCTGGCAACATTGTTGTTTGTGTTAATGATGATCCAACTGTTGCAAGGCGAATCAAGAAGTTAGTTGTGCAAGATGCAAGAGCGGTAGGGATAATACTCATTGATGAGGAAAACAAAGATATTCCCTTTGATGCAGGTGTATTTCCCTTCACTGAGGTTGGCAATCTTGAAGGGCATCAGATCCTACAATACATAAACTCCACCAAGTAAGCATCATCAGCCTTCACATTTGTTGATTAGTGATTTAAGGTAGCTTTTCCCATGTTTTATGTGTTGAAAAGTGTCACATTACCTTGAGGTACTACTTATATATATTGGACACTTTCATTTAATGTGAATTAATTCTAAGATGAAAACTGATACTATGTGCAAACAACAGGGAATTGAAGTATGTTCATGTTGAATGTTAAAGTTGAAAAATAATGCGCTAGCTGTATGCTTATTCTATCATGACTCCATTACAGGAACCCAACTGCAACAATTCTTCCAACAACTGAAGTTGCTAGATATAAGCCTTCACCAATTGTTGCTTCTTTCTCATCCAGAGGTCCTTCAAGCTTTACAGAAAACATTCTCAAGGTTATTTTTTAATCCCTATGTTCCTACATGCACTTTTCATTCCATCATTGAACCTGAATCACATAAGCATCTTGAGAACAATGCACTCATTGTTTCTTTCACATTATGGCAAATATTTTGTACAGCCGGATGTCATGGCTCCAGGAATTGGCATTTTGGCTGCTGTGATTCCTAAAAGTACCGATCCTGGAAGTGTTCCAATCGGGAAAAAACCATCCTCGTTTGGCATAAAATCTGGTACATCAATGGCTTGCCCACATGTGACAGGTGCAGCAGCATTCATTAAATCAGTACACCAAAATTGGAGTCCTTCAATGATCAAATCAGCGTTGATGACAACAGGTATTAGACCAAACACTCTTTACAAGAAAGTGATCCTTAGGCTTGTTCATCTTGGTTAACAAAACTTGAAAATTTTTGTTCCTGTGTACATTTCTGCTTTTCAAAAGCTTTTTCACTTGAACAGAACACTCAGAAAAAATGGGGAAAAAAAATCTGTATTAAAAAATTTTTTGCACTTATGAAAATATAATTCAGTCCCTACTTATAAGCTGTTTCTGTGGGTTTTTTCTTTTTTTCAAGATACTTGCTCTTCCAATATAGATTTTGGATAATAAATTGGTTTAGTAGTGTGGAATTGTTTAGATAACGAAAAGTGTGAAGTGAATCAAACATGCCCTTATGCTGTTTGTTCATATTCCATTCTTCAGCTACAAATTACAACAACATGAGGAAGCCTCTTACAAACAGCTCAAACTACATTGCTGACCCACATGAAATTGGAGTTGGGGAAATTAATCCACTCAGAGCTCTCCATCCTGGCTTGGTCTTTGAAACAAACGTGGAAGACTATCTCAGATTCCTTTGTTATAATGGCTATTCACAGAAAAAAGTTAGGTCAATGCTTAAGACCAACTTTAATTGCCCTAAGAACTCCTCTGAAGACCTTATCTCCAACATCAATTATCCATCAATATCGATAAGTACACTTAAAAGGCAACAAAAACCAAAAGTGATCACAAGAACAGTTACCAATGTTGGATCCCTTAATGCCACATACACTGCAAAAGTGAGCTCACCTGAGGGATTGGTTGTGAAGGTCATCCCAAATAAACTTGTCTTTTCTGAGGGTGTTCAAAGAATTACGTACAAAGTCTCATTCTTTGGCAAGGAGGCCAATGGTGGATACAATTTTGGGTCTCTAGCATGGCTTGATGGTCACCATTATGTTCTTACAGTGTTTGCAGTCAAAATTGAATAAATTTTCACACACATACAGGTACTTGAACAGGTCAAAGAAAATGTAGTACATGATTGTGGAATTCTTTTGCCTAACTTTTATTGTATAAAGGAATGAGCTCCATATTAAAAGTACAAATTTCTCAATGAGACATTAATATTATTAACTTGTGATTTTTTGACCTTGTTGCATTATAATAAGCCTACAATAATGGAAACTTCGTTCTCTTTCTATTTCTATTGCTTCTACCAAAATAAAAATTTAGTCATTAGCATTTCTTGGTTCCAATTTCTAAAGAATAAAAGCCACACATGAAATCATCATCCTAAAATCAATACAAGAAAAATGATATCTAATGGTCAAAATTCATTAGTAATATCCAAAATTTATTGATAAATACTCATTATCGATAATTAAAATTTTTGTTTATAATTAGATTGTGGATAAATTTTCTTAATGAATATCATAAATTTATCGGTAATTATTAATGAAATATCAATAAAAAATTGTTCTCAATAATTACCATCTGCGAGACATGCGTTGATAATTACTAAACTTGTAAGATCCACAAACTGCCCAAAGAGAAGAGGAGTGTCGAAAAAAAATTATTTTTAAACAAATTAGTGAAAAAATTTTCAATGTTTTTAAAATCATGAGTGTATTGATGAAAATATAGATTTAAAAATTTTAAATAATAATTTTTATAATATAATAAATATATAATAATTTATTAGTAATAATAATTAAAAAAAGAAAAATAACGAAAACTATTATGATGATTATTATAAATTATAATAAAAATTATAAATGTTAAATATAATAAAAATGAAAAATTATTAATTATTAAAATAAAATAAATAATTATTATTTAAAATAGACAGAAGAAAAAAAATTATATCTTTTATTTTATTTTAAGTTTTTATCTATAAATTTTTTTTGTAACACAATCTATTCGACCTAAAAATTTAGTTACCATTAGATTTTATTTCAATTTAAATAAAACATAGTTTAATCCTAGTAATGATATTATATCAAATTTAAAGTTGGAATATTCATATTATGAAAACAAGAATTCTTAGTCTTACACTATCAATACGTTCCAGGTATTCATAGGTCTCATCGGAATTAAAATAAAAGATAATTCATATATCTTTATTTTTTAAATCATACATTTCTTAAATCATATATGTATCTTATAAGGATAAAATAGGCTCTCTCTCTTTTTTTAATGGGGGCAAATTTTTTAAAAATTTATCAAAATAGTGTAAATTTTTAAAATATTATGGATAAGTCGTGCTAGCACTATTTTATAAATTATTATGTAATTTTCTTAGGTTCTCCATTCATTTTAGAAAACTACTTCAAAGGATCTTTATATTTATAATTTTCATGTAATAATATAAATCAATAATAACGATATTAACTTTGATCCATGAAAGATATTCAATGAGAATGTGTTCTTTAATGTTTTTGTTCTCCAACCTTTTTTCCCAATCTATCTCTTTATCTTTCTTTTTCCTGTCGTACTTTTTCGATGGTTTAATGTGAAAAGAACCTTATTGCCAGAGACAAAACCATAATCTATTTTATTAACCAACATTCATCAAGTTGATTACCATAAGTTTTTATTTGATTTTATCTTTATTTTATTATGACTTCCCATGATAACCAATAGATCCTTATATTTTATTAAATCACATTTGAGTTTATCATTATATTTCACATAAGTCATATAATAGAATTAATTAATTAAATTAATTCTAACATTCTCCCACTTGACTTATGTCATGTCATACCACTTTGTGATTTAATACTTAAATCATAATGTGTATTAAATGATCTTACATAAATTGGTTATATCATTATTCATAATTAAATATACAACTATAACAAGAGAGTCATGACAATTATATGTCATTCAATCGATATGCTCCCTTTGTTCAGAAATATAAGTGAGTCTAAGTCTCACATTGTGTAAGAATGAAAAAGTTGAGTAACATATAAGGAAGGATGACCCATAACCTAATGCCTTAAGGTTTTTGATTGAGAGTAGTGTCAATCCTTATATAAGTTGGGGTCATCTATCATTAGTGTGTTTCTCCCCTGTGAATCCCCTCGAAAGACCCAACACCCTTCCATGTACTACTATATTATCTCTTTCTCCTTAATATACTTTATAATGAAAAGTCCATAATAGGTTCAAACATAATATCATTTTCAATAATAATAACATAATTTGTTTTCTTCATCATAATTTGCATGCATATAAATAAAGAAGAAACATAAATTTTACAAAATTATACATTAAAGATCTCATAATGACAAATAAGCATTAATAATAACATTAACATTTAACATTCACTAGTAAACATAATATACATATTCATTATATGGCCAGCAAACAACTTGGGTGGTAATCCTTTTGTTAAAGGATCAATAATCATAAGATCAGTGCTAATATGTTCTATTGACACTCTTCATTTCTAAACTCCTTTAACAATAAAATATTTCAATTCCATATGCTTAGCATCTTTGGAATATTTTTCGTTCTTAGAAAAGAAGATTGTTGCGACATTATCACAATAAATTTTTAGCGCTTTGGCAATATTGTCGACTACTCCAAGTCCTAAAATAAAATTCTGCAATCAATTAGCTTGAATTGTGACCTCAAAGCATGCCACAAATTCACCTTTCATGTTAGATGCAACAATGGTGGACTGCTTCGCACTTTTCCATGAAATCGCTTCTGTGGCTAAAAGATACACATAACCAAATGTAGACTTTCGAGAATCCATACTACCAGCAAAATTTGAATCTGTATATCCAATCAACTCAAAGTGATCAGTTTTCCTATAAGTAATCATATGATTCTTTGTTCCTTGTAAGTATCTTAAGACTTTCTTTATAGTTTTCCAATGATTCAGTCCAGGATTACTATGGTATCTACCTAGCATACCAACTGCAAAGCTAATATCTGGTCTCATACATGTTTGAACATACATCAAACTCCCAACAATAGATGCATAAGGGATATTTTCCATCTATTTTTGTTCCAAGTCATTCTTAGGACATTGCATAAGACTAAATTTGTCTCATTTATGTATTGGAACGAGAGATGTTAAACATGTAACCATTCTGAATCTTTCTAAAACTTTATTAATATATGCTTTCTGAGACAAACCTAACAATCATTGGGATCTATCACAAAATATTTCTATTCCTATCATATAGTATGTCTCACCTATATCTTTCATTTCAAAGTTGTTAGAGAGAAACTTCTTAGTTTTACTTAATAGACTAAGATCATTAGTCTCAAGCAAGATATCACCAACATACAGAATCAAAAATATAAACTTGCTCCCACTGATCTTTAGATATATATATACCGATCAACAATGCTTTCCTTAAATCCAAAGGATAGAATAGTATCATTGAACTTAAGATATCATTGTTGAGAAGCTTGTTTAAATCCATATATTGATTTCTTAAGTTTACATACCATGTGTTCCCTTCCTTCTTTAATGAACCCCATCGATTGGTCCATATAAACATCCTCCTCTAAATCCCCATTTAGAAAGGCAATTTTAACATCTATTTAATACAACTCAAGATCATAATAAGCTATTAATGTCATGATAATTCGAAAAGAATCTTTCTTAAAAATAGGTGAAAATAGTTCCTTATAATCAATGTCATCTTTCTAAATAAAATCTTTAGCAACAAGTCGGGCCTTGTAACGTTCGATATTGTTGTGAGAGTCACGCTTAGTCTTAAAGACTCATTTACACCCAACACGCTTGCATCCGTCTGACAATTCCACAAGATCTCATATACCATTATGTGTCATTCATTTAAGCTCATCTTTCATAGCTAACCATTTATCAAAATTATCACCATTAATGGCTTCTGAAAATGAAATTGGATCATTATTAAATTTAAGTCATTTTTTGACTCTTGTAGATAAACCACATAATCATTCAAAATAGCATATTTACTTTCTCTGTGAGATCTTCTTAATATTATTTCTTGTGGTTATTCTATTATTAGCTCATTATTAATCTCGGGATCATTAATTTGTTCTTCTTCTTGATTGTCGTGTGGTTCTACTACATGTGGAACAACAACTCTTGAAGAATATGTACTAGTACAGGAACTTGTACTCTAACTTCCTTAATCTCCACATTTTGTGAAGCTTTACCCCTACTGGTTTCACAATTTTCAATGAACCGAGCGTTTCTAGTTTCAACAATTCTTGTACTACAGGTAGGACAATAAAACATATACCCTTTTGATTTTTGTGGATAAACAATGAAATATCCACTGATTGTTCTTGCATCCAGTTTCTTTTCTTGTACATTGTAAATTCTTACTTCTGCCTGACAGCCTCAAACATGCAGGTGTCTCAAACTAGGTTTCCTACTTGTCCATAACTCAAAAGGATTCTTTTGAACAACTTTGCTAGGAACTTTGTTCAACAAATACATGACAGTCTTCAAAGCATATATCCACAATGATATAAGTAAACATGAATTACTTAACATACTTCTAACCATATCCGTTAAACGCCTTTCCGACACACCATTTTGTTGTGGTGTGTCTAACATTGTGTATTGAGTACAAATACCATGTTTCTCAGGGAACTTAACAAATGGATCAGGGTGTTATCCACTTTCATCATATCTTCCATAATACTCACACCTCTATCTTGTTAGAATTAATTTAATTAATTCATTCTATTTTGTGACTTATGTAAAATGTAATGATGGGCCCAAATGTGATTTAATAAAGTATAAGGACCTATTGGTTATTATGGAAAGTTAGAATAAAATAAAGATAAAATAAAATAAAATAAAAACTTACGATAATCAACTTGATGAACGTGGGTTAATGAAAGATGATTGAGGGTCTGTCTCTGACCATAAGGTTTTTTCATGATAAATCATCAAGAAAGCATGAAAAAGGAAAGAAAGACAAAAAGATGGATTGGCTAAAGGAGGTTGGAGAACAAACAGATTAAAAAC